GCAGCAGCAGCAGATGAGAACAATTGGAGCCTGAAGCAGACGGCGGACAGCCAATTATTGGATCAATCTCCTTTGCGCTGCAGCGCAGCAGCAGCAGCAGCAGCTGCTGCTGCTGCTGCAGAAGCAGCAGCAACAATAAATAACGAACAGAATGGGGGCGCCGCAGCACCAGCAGCAGCGAACACAGCTGCTGCTGCTGCTGCCACGACAGCTGCAGCTGCAGCAGCAGCACAACATGATGGGAACATTGGAGCAGCACACACGCAGGAGGAAGTAAACGCAGCAGCAGCAGCAGCTGCTGCTGCTGCTGCTCTCGAGGGAATGTCCTTAGGAGGGGGAGAAGCACCTACTGTAGCAGCAGCTGCTGCCGCTGCTGCTGCACTATCGTCGCCAGCAGCAGCAGCAGCAGCAGCAACTGCTGAGGCAGCCCAGCAAACAGAGAAGCTGCAGCTGGGAGTTATTGAAGCCCATACGTCCGCCGCAGCAACAGCAGCACCTGCATGCGCTGCTCCTGCTGCTGCAGCGGAGCAGCAGCAGGGATTGCCGAGTGCCGGCGAGCTGCAGCAGGCGCAGCATGCGAACATTCCTCCTCAGTTGCCAGCAGCAGCAACAGCAGCAGCAGCATCAACAGTACCAGCGACCCCAACAACAAGTCCAGTAGGACAACAAGCAGCCGACCCTGCAGCAACGGCTGCGGTTCTTTCTGCAGCAGCAGCAGCTGCTGCTGCTGCTGCTGCAAATGCAACAGAAGAGGCAGCAGAGTGTGCAGCAGGAACCGCAGCAGCAGCACCCGCTGCTGACTTCCTTGACTCGGAGCAGCATGTTGGTGCCGCCGCAGCAGCAGCAGCTGCTGCTGCTGCTGCAGGCGTCTCCCCGATGTCGAGCCCTTTGTCTCCGCTTCCTGCTGCAGTGGACATTCGAGCAGCAGACGCAGCAGCAGACACAGCAGCAGAAACAGCAGCAGGAACAGCAGCAGATCATTCTTCCCTTGCTTCTTCCCTTGCTGCTGCTCCCTCCGATTCCCCCCATCCCCCTACTGTACTGTCTCTTGCTGCTGCTGCTGCAGCAGTCCCGCTGCAGCCTGATTCTTTGGGTGCAGCTACTGCAGCAGCAACAGCAGCAGCAACAACAACAACAGCAACAACACCAGCAGCAGCAGAAACCCGTACGTGGGCCTCCGGTTTCTTTGCTTCTGCTTCTCCTGAGCGCCCTGTGCTTGACGCAGCAGCAGCGCCATCCGAGGCAGCAGCAGCAACAGCAGCAACAGCAACAGCAGCAGGAGCAGCAGCACCAAGTACAGGAGAGGGTAGCCCTCCTGCATCTTTTCTATCATCTGCTGCTGTTGCTGCAGGCGAAGGGAGGCTGCTGCAGCTCTCTCCTGAGCAACGCAATGCGCAGCAGCAGCAACAGCAGCAGCAGCAGCAGCAACAGCCACAAAGGAGATCGCTCACTAGGGCTTTCCCGCCAGGTCTGCTTACGAGCCGCGTGCTGCCGGAGCCGCTGCTTCAGCAGCAGCAGCAGCAGCAGCAGCAGCAGCAGCAGCAGCATTCGTTCCGAACTGTGCAGATGGCAGGGGAACTTGCTGGTGCAGCAGATGCAGCAGCAGCAGCAGCAGCAACGAGCAGAAGCAGCAGATTTCTCCACCACACCTACTCCAGGAGTGACAGTAGTTGGAGCAGCAGCAGCAGCAGCAGCAGCAACGGCAGCAGCAGCAGCAGCAGCAGCAGCAGCGGCAAGCAGCAACTGCGTTTGGCATGCCTTGGTGTCCGCGAATTAAGGCGGCGTCTGGGCGTGGACGGCAGCAGCGGCGGCAGCAGCAGCAGTAGCAGCAGCAGTAGCAGCAGCAGCAGCAGCAGCAGCAGCGACAGCAGCAGTGATGAGGAGGGATCGGGAGAGAGAGGAAGCAGCAAGAAGCCTTGGGCTATGCGTCTGCATCAGACACGTCTGCTGCTGCAGCAGGAGCAGCAGCAGCAGCAGCAGCAGCAGCAGCACGCTGCATGCATATCTATTCCTGGCTCTTTCCCGTCTTTTTATATTGCCTTTATGAATGGTGTTTATCAGATCCGTTTACTGCAGCAACCGCCGCCGCAGCAGCAGCAAGTGCAGCAGCAACCGCAGCAGCAGCAGCAGCGGGACATAGTAGGTAGATGTTGGAGTTCTCCTGCTGCAGCATCATCAGCAGCAGCAGCATCTGCTGCTGCAGCTGCATCTCGCAGCAGCAATGGTCTATCAGAAGTGAATTATGTTGTAACACATAAGACCAATGTATTTAACAGCAGCAGCAGCAGCAGCAGCAGCAGCAGCATAATAAACAGTATAAGTGGCACGGAGAGCAGCAGCAGCAGTTGTTGCAGCAGCAGCAGCGTATTGCTGCAGGTACCAATATGGTCTCCTCTTCCTGGTCGTAGTGGTGATATATTGCATGCAGGCAGCAGCAAATGGAGTATATGCAGGTTTGCTGCTGCAGCAGCAAACAGCCAAGGTTGCCGTGCAGCAATGGAGGATAGGGAGACAATATTGGATAGTTTGCTGCTGGGATCGTCGATCCCACCGATCCCGGGATCGATCCCCGGATGGATCCCGAGCCCGACACCCACGATCCCAACAACGATCCCCGTCTCCTTCTTTGGTGTATATGATGGTCATGGTGGTAAGGATTGTGCTGTGTATGTACAGCAGCAGCTGCATGTACAGCTGCAGCAAGCAGTAGGTCGTTGTTGTGGATCTATAGATCTATCATCTGCGGTGTATAGGGACATAAGTACATGTCTCCTTAAGGCATTTTTATATACAGATCGTGAATTCTGCTGCAACACGAGCAGCAGCAGCAGCAACAACATCAACAACAACATCAGCAGCAACAACAACAACAACAACAGCAGCAACAACAGCAGCATAAGCAGCAGCAAGAGTATAATACAAACAAGCCCTCCTCCCCTTTATAACCCATCAATAAGTTCATTATCCCCAAGTATAATATCAATAAGCAACATGAATAAGAGCAGCAGCAACAATAGCAACAACAACATTAGCAGCATTAGCAGCAGCAGCAGCAGCAGCAGTGGTAGTGCAGCAGTAGTAGTATTAATAATAGGTAGTTTATTAATATGTGCAAATTGTGGTGATAGTCGTGCATGTATATCAAGAAAAGGAGAAGCAATACAACTATCTCTTGATCATAAACCTGATAGAATAGATGAGCAACAAAGGATAACTGCAGCAGGAGGACATGTAAGACAGAGGAGAGTATTAGGTAGATTAGCTGTATCTCGTGCTATAGGGGATAAATATTATAAATATAATTGGTATAATTATAATTATATTCATAATAATTATAATTATATTCATAATAATTGTAATTACAGCAGCAGCAGCAGCAGCAGCAGCAGCAACAGCAGCAACAGCAGCAGCAAACAGCTTGTTATTGCTGAACCAGAGATACGTAGTGTATTAATAAAAGAAGAAGAAGATGAATTCTTACTTATTGCATGCGATGGTCTCTTTGATGTTATGACGACACAAGAAGCTGTCTCTTTTGTACGTAATAAGCTGCACCAGCTACAGCAGCAGCAGCAGCAGCAGCAACAGCAGCAACAGGAATTACGGGGGAAAAAAGGAATCCAACAAGGGTGCTGCAGCAGTATCCTGCTGCAGCAAGCTGCTGCTGCACTTGTTGCAGAAGCAATCGATGTTAGACGCAGCAGAGATAATGTTACTTGTCTTCTTGTTGATCTAAGACCACCTATACACCAGCAGCAGCAGCAGCAGCAGCAGCAGCAGCAGCAACAGCAGCAGCAGAGAAGGCAGCAGCAGCAACAGCAGCAGAGAAGGCAACAGCAGCAACGACAAGAAAGGATACAACAGGATGAGCAATCTAAGGGAAAAGAAGAGCAGCAGAAACAGCAGCAACAGCAACAGCAACAGCAACAGCAGCAGCAGCAGCAGCAGATTAGACGGAGAACGCAGCAATTCGAGGAAAAATACAAGCAGCAGCAACAAGAAAAGAAACAGCAACAACTCCAGCAACTGCAGCAACTGCAGCAACAAAACCAACACCAACAGCAAGAAAAGAAACAACAGCAGGAGCAGCAACGCGAGGAGCAACAGCAACCGCAGCAGCAGCGTGAGGAGCAACAGCAGCAGCAACGCGAGGAGCAGCAACGGGAGGAGCAACAGCAACAGCGGCAGCAACTGGAAGTGCAACAGCAACAGCAGCAGCAACGGGAGGAGGAGGAGCAGCAGCAGCAACAGCAGCAACAACAACAAGAGCAGCAGCAAATGGAGGTGCAGCAGCAGCAGGAGCAGCAGCAGCATCATGAAGAGGAACAGCAACAACAGCAGTAACAGGAACAGCAGAAGAAAGAGCAGCAGCTGCTGCAGCACTTGCTGCTGCTGCTGCACCACTTGCAGCAGCAGCAGCAGCAAAAAAGGAAAAGAAGAGTCTGCTGCGCCTCTGAAACCCAAAGACGGTGCGGAGGCTGCAAACCACCTCAGCAGCAGCAGCAGCAGCAGCAGCAACAGAAACAGCAGCAACAGCAGCAGCAGCAGCAGCAGCAGCAGAGAACAGCAGCAGTTGCTGCTGCACTTGCATATATTTCCTTATTTGTCTGAGGTGTACGTACACCTCAATTAACCATTCTTTGTTTAAAGACTGCCGCTGGGGGATGAAGGGAATTGCTGCTGCTGCTGCTGCTGCTGCTGTCTGTGCTGCTGCTGCTGTTGTTGTTGTGTCTGCTGCTGCTGCTGATACGGATTGCTGATGTAGGTATCCTGTTAGTTATGCATAATTAGTATATAAATAATAATTTAATTAATATAATTATTATTTATTTATTTATTTATTTATATATAATAATAAATACGTAAACCCTAAACCCTAAACCCTAGAGAGAGAAGATGGACCAATGGACCAATCAGCAGCAGCAGCAGCAGCAGCAGCAGCAGCAGCAACTAGGGTTTTATTTTCTTTATTATAAACCCTTTTTTTTCTTTTTATTTATTTATTTATTTATTTTCCTTAATTATAATTAGATAATTAATTATTAATAATTATTATTTCTTCCTTGTTGCTACTAAACCCTAATTATTTAATTAGGGTTTAGCAGCAGCAAGAATGTAGCAGCAAGAAGATAACAATTATTTTTATACACAAACCCTAAACCCTAAACCCTAATTAAGCATCCATCCTCCCGTGTCCTCCGCCTTTGTGTCTACTGTTTAGGGTTTAGGGTTTATATTTGTTAGCGCATCTTGTTTCTTAAGGTTTGGTATTTATTAGGGTTTAGGGTTTATTAGGGTTTATTAGGGTTTAGGGTTTATGAGGGTTTATTAGGGTTTATTAGGGTTTACTAAGGTGTGCTGTGCAGAGGGGAGAGGGTTTATTGATTAGGGTTTAGATGTCTGATTAGTTACCTTATTCCTGAGGGTTTAGGGTTTAGTAATAAAGAGTTAGACTCCAAAGCCTAGGGTTTAGGGTTTAGGGTTTAGGGTTTAGGGTTTAGGGTTTACGAGGGTCCATAGGGGGAGGTGACCCTGGGGGAGTTGTTTATTTTTATATATTTTGCTGCTGCTGGTTAATTATTTATAAATAAATAAATAAAAAATAAATAATAAATAAAATAAATAAATAAATAAATTAATTAATTAAATAAAAAAGATGCAGGAAAGTGTCTTTTATTAGGATGTATATATATACACAGCAGCAGAAGGCAGCAGCAGCAGCAGCAGCAACAGCAGCAACAGCAGCAGCAGCAGCAGCAGCAGCAAAAGGAAGGAGGAAGAAGGGGCTGTTGTTTTTTTCTTTTTATTTATTTATATTTAATTATTTTTTTTATTTATTTTTATTTATTTATTAATAACGCTAATAGGGAGGTGTATCTACATCCGATGAATCCCCAGCAGCTGCTGTTGCTGCTGCTCCAGCTGCTCCTGCTGCTGCTGCTGCTGCTGCTGCTGCTGCTGCAGGTGACCTCTGCGTCTGCTGCACACTTGGGGTGTATGCTCACCTCCATGGCCCCACAAGCCTCTATAGGGATTTAATTAATTAAGTCTTTTTCTTCTGCTGCAGTTGTTGCTATTCATTGTTTGCTGCTAGTCTTGCCTGCAGCAGCAGCAGCAGCAGCAACAGCAGCAACAGCAGCAACAGCAGCGACAGCAATAACAACAGCAATACCAATAGCAGCAGCAGCAGCAACAACAACAGCAGCAGCAACAGCAGCAGCAGCAGCAGCAAAGGGATCAGCAGATGGACAGCCGCGGCTCTCCACGTGCCGCTGGGGGCAGCAGCTTTGCTGCCTCCTCTCTTGCTGCTCCAGTTGCTGCTGATGCCGCTGCTGCTGCTGCTGCTGCTAATGTTGCTGAAGATGATGAAGATGCTGTTGCTGCTCTCCCTGCTGCTGCTGCTCCCCCTCCAGCAGCAGCAGCAGCAGCAGCAGAACATAAAACAGGTACTTCTCCTATAGGGTTTCCTGTTGTTGCTGTAAGAGCTTTCTCCTCTGCCCGCCGCAACAAACGCAGCAGCAGCAGCAGCAGCAGCAACAGCAGCAGCAGCGGCATTCTTTATACTCACATGGATAGTACCAATGGTGCAGCAGCAGCAGCAGCAAATCATATTTCAATTCCTCATTCGGAGGATATTCATTCCTCTGCTGCTGCTGCTGCTGCTGCCGCTGAGCAGCAGCAGCAGCAGCAGCACCAGCAGCAGCAGCAGCAGCAGCAGCAGGAGACATTACATGATCCTTCTACTGATTATCCTTTTTCTGCAGTTGTATATCCACAGGTTGCTGTCCCCATAGATCCCCATTACCAGCAGCAGCAACTGCAGCAGCAGCAGCAACTGCTGCTACTTCAGCAGCAGCAGCAGCAGCAGCAGCAGCAGCAGCAGCAGCATTCTGCATACGGTGCTTCTACTTCTGCTCCAGCAGCAGCAACAGCAGCAACAGCAGCAGATCCTTCTTCTTCATCATCCGATCCTACATCAACAACAATACCAGCAGAAGCAGCAGCAGCAGCAGCAGCAGCAGCAGCAGCAGCAGCAGCAGCAGCAGCAGCAACAGCAGCAGGAGATGGATTAATAATACAATCATTAGACCCCTCTCGTGAATCTGCAGACTGTGGTGAATCAGGATCAGGAGGAGGAATAGAAGGAGCAGCAACAGGAGAAGCAGCAACAGCAGCAACAGGAGTAAATACTTCTTGCTGCAGCTGTCCTAAACAAATAGGACTAACACTTAGTCTGCTGCTGCTGCTGCAGTTAGTATTTAATGTAGATAATGGCATCCTTCCTGCTATTTTGCCACAATTATGGCAAGAATTCAGAATACTGGATTCACAACAAGGTATATTTATTTATTTATTTATTTATTTATTTATTTATTTATTTATTTATTTATTATTTCTTTTATTTATCTATTTATTTATTCTTCTCTATTTATTTCCTTTCTTTTAATTGGTTATATGTATATATTATATATTATGTATATATATATATATATATATATA